CCGCCTGCCTCTGCCTCCCGAGTGCTGGGATTAAAGGCGTGCGCCACCACCGCCTGGCCTGTCCTATAATTTGGGTGGGGGACAAGGGAATGACAGCACTTCAGGGGACATTCTCTCCTCAGTAAGATGGAGACAAGCAGCTAGGTTCAGCCTCGTGTGTGTGTGTGTGTGTGTGTGTGTGTGTGTGTGTGTGAGTGAGACAGACAGACAGACAGACAGGACAGGACAGGACAGGACAAGACAGGGGGATACAGAGAGAAACTGAGACTCTACTAGTTGAAACTAAAAATGTGGTAATTCCCCCCCCAACAAATTTTAATTCTAATTAAAACATTACTTGCTAAAATTTTAACAAAGGGGAAAAACTTAACTCTCAAATAGCCCTGTCTTGTAAGAGGAAAGACGCTGAGCTGGCGTTCCCATGCGTAGCATGAAACACCCAGTGTAAGCTCAGGGTCCAGCACAGTGGGAAGTTTAGGATCAGACCACCTCACTGCCAGCCCTTCCTCCTCCTCTGATCACAGGCAGAGATGCTTAACCCTTAGAGATAACGCTGGTGACCCTGCCAACAGTACCTACAGATCACAGGATGGTCTCAGCACAGGGCCAGCACACAGGGCTCATTTAGGAAACACTTTTCTCCGTAGTAAAAGCCGTGACGATGCTATCTATGTCTGTGTTTTACACTTCTTCTTGAACAATGTGAGGAATGGGATGACTGGGTCAGAAGTGTAAACCATGAGCTAGGCCTAAACTCAGCTCACTTCTGAGTGCATAGGTAGCAGGTATAATCTGTCAGCTCATAACTGTGAAACGCTGTTCCACAGAAATGGCAGCCGGAGGGGTAACAACGAGCTCTCATTGAGGCAGAATATTCATTTCAGAAGGAATGCTGATTGGTGGTTTCTATCCTAAAAGCAAGATGGATCACTATACCTTCACCCAAGTGAGAAGGCAGCTGGGGTGATGTCCATAGCATTTCCACCTTTGAACTCTGACCTCTCGCTATGCAAAACTACCTCTGTCACACCACATGGCTTGTCCCTGAAAGGAAAGACTTCTACTCCTCCTTTCTCAAACATGTCTGATTCTCAACACAAGGTTCTGTTCATCTCATGCCTTTTTACCTCCCCTCTGTGTGCAGTAGCTTTTTTTGTTTGTTTGTTTTGGTTTTTCGAGACAGGGTTTCGCTGTAGCTTTGGAGCCTGTCCTGGAACTAGTTCTTGTAGACCAGGCTGGCCTCGAACTCA